ATAGAGGCTTTTTTCCTCATGTCGCCACCTGGTTCTAGTACAATATATTTTATTTTTCAATTTAACGAACATATATGTGAATTACATATGAACATATATAAAAACGTGCAGAAAATATATTATTTTATATTTATAAACATAAGAATCAACTTGCTAAAATATTGTCGAATGTATCTCTATATGTATTTCAAATAAAATTGTGAAAAATTTGGGCTTTTAAATTACTTATAGATCCAAATTTATGTAATGATATGTTCATATAGCATTAAAATCACAAATATTTATTTATTATTTAAAATCATCAAATCTTATGCGATATCCCCACAAGATATGCTTGAGCATGAGCTTTTACATAAACAATTGGTGAATTGCAAGGTTTGAGTAGAAGTTTGAATTATTAAAAAAAAAAAGCAATATATTATCTAATCTTCTCTAACTCTCAATATTTTATATTATGGATTTATATAATATAAATGGATAATATATTTTATAGATAAAGAATTCTTCCTGAATTGAATTAGACGAAAAACATGGTTAAGGAAGACGAGTTTCTTTTATTAATGCATAGGTGCAAGCTTTCGGGTAAAAACCCTTCAACAGGCAAGCAATGAAGCGCGACTTATAAGATCTATGGTACAAATGGTAGGAAGAAATATATATAAATATAAAGGAAAATTTTAAAACTATTTATAATGGTTAATCTTTACAGAAGAACGATTTTTGAGAAAGTAAATATTAAATCTGCAGTCTGAAACCACTAGACGGCGCATGATTAGGGCTATTGAAATAAACATGTGGGAAGTTTAAATAAAGGACAAGAGAGGATGATAAGCTTCTGGAAATTCTATTTTTCTATTGATGCTGTTCAGTTTGTGGGATACTATGGATTCTAGGATAAGTTTTTGGTGTAAGATATGTATGTGCTTGTAATGTATGGTGGGGTTTTTTGATGTTGAAAGTGTGGCCTGTGCTCTGCATATGTTGATAAATAAGGGATTTGGTATCTTGCCTGGAAATATTACGGGAATGTTCAATCATCCTGATGGACACAGATCTACCTGTCTCACCAACGTAAGTGGCAGGACACTGTTCACATGGGACAGAGTAGACTGCGCCCATAGAACGAAGAGGGTCAGTGATCTGTGATATATTATTACTCTACTCTGTATTATTGATCATCATCTTGTAAACAACAATATACGTATAATCGAATTGTAAAAAGAATAAAATAATTATAGTAGCTTAAAAATAGTGTATCTTTCATTTATCTATATATATATATATAAAGTGCAATTTCTTATAAAATAATTTTCACCATTAATATTTACAATTAATAGAAACGTATCAAATGGCGACGAAGAATTGACGTAAGTATTGGTAAATGTTAAAATTGAAGATGCAGACACTATAATGGAGGTTGACACTGGTGCAGACGTGTCTGTAGTTTCAAAGAAATTTTTTCTTACAAATCTCAAAAATGTCACTCTAGAGAAATACAGTGGACATTTGAAAAGTTTTTCAGGAAATATGATACCAGTTTTTGGAAAATGCTTGGTAAATGTTAGTTACAAAAACTATCAGGAAAAACTACCCCTAATTGTGACAGGCCAGTTTAATAACCAAACGCCGCTACTGGGCAGAAATTGGATAAGAATTTTAAAAACTGATTGGCCCAATTGCGTTTTTGATATCTGTAATAATATAAATGTAATTTCAAATTTAGAACTGTTTTTAGAAGTATATAAGAGAGTATTTGAAAATAAAGATTTACCAATTCAGGGCATTAAAGGTTCAATATCATTGAGGCCAAATGCTAAGCCCAAATTTTTTAAATTTAGACCAGTACCCTTTTCCATTAAAGAGAAGATAGACAAAGAACTAGACAGACTTGAAAAAAGTCAAATAATTGAAAAGGTTAATGCTAGTGATTGGTCTACGCCTTTAGTAACGGTAATAAAGTCAAATGGAGAACTACGTTTGTGTGGTGATTTTAAAAATACTTTGAATAATTGCATTGAAGATGAGAAATATCCATTACCTACTATAGAAACTATGTTGGGAAATCTAGGAGGAAACAAGATTTTTACCAAATTGGATCTCTCCTCCGCATATCATCAAATTGAAATGGATGAAGCATCAAAAAATCTGCTAGTGGTATCTACCCATAGAGGACTTTACCGATATAATAGATTGCCTTTTGGCATTAGTCCAGCTTCAGCCATTTTCCAGAGGTGTATGGACAGCCTTTTTCATGATGTTCCCAACACGGTGATATACTTAGATGATATTTTCATTGGTTCTAAAGATGAACAAGAACATTACAGAATTTTAAAAATGATCTTCGATAAATTGAAAGAGCTAAATTTCACCCTTAATAAAGAAAAATGCTTATTTTTTAAAAAAGACATTTGTTTTCTAGGTCATATTATAAATGAAGATGGTGTTAGACCAGATTCAAAGAAATTGGAAGCATTAGAAAGGTGTAAAAAGCCTTTCGACAAAACATCATTGAAGAGTTTTCTAGGGATGTTGAGCTTCTATTCAAAATACATACCTAATATGTCAACCTTGGCTGGTCCTCTTTATCAACTCCTAAAGGAGGACAATCGTTGGAAATGGTCTAGCCAATGCGAAAAGGCATTTCTGAATTTGAAGTTAACTCTATTAAATTCCCAGGCGCTTATTCACTATTCAATGAAGCTTCCATTAACTTTAACCTGTGATGCATCTGCCTATGGCATAAGTGGGGTCTTGTGTCATATTGTGGAAGGGGAAGAGAAGCCAATCACCTTTGTTTCCAGAACATTGTCAAGTGCAGAAGTCAAATACTCTCAGACTGAGAAAGAAGCACTTGCTATTGTGTTTGCAACTTCCAAACTGAGACAATACTTGTTTGGGAGAAAATTTGTGTTAAAGAGTGATCATAAAGCTTTAACGACTGTTTTTGGAAACAAAAGACTTCTTCCGCCTTTAATTGCAAATCGCTTGCATAGGTGGGCTTTAGAGTTGTCAAATTTCGATTTCGATATTAGATATACAAATAAAGATACCATGCTCTGTGCGGATGCATTTTCAAGACTTCCACTTGAGGAAATAAATTCAAGGGAAGACAACATTGATTTGGTGACACATGATATATCATTTTTAAATGTAATTCCATTGGACCACCTCATTATTGAAGAAGAAACCAATAAAGATCCGGTTTTAAATAAGCTCAAGGAATATCTATTAGAAGACCCTCAGTTAGAAAAAAGGATGAAACAATGAAACCATTCCTTTCAAAATTGGAAAATTTTTCTGTACTGCAGGGATGCATTTTTGTTGATTCTAGGGCAGTGATTCCAAGAACCTGTCAAGATCAAATGTTGAAGTTACTTCATCAAAGTCATATAGGAATCAATCGCATGAAATCTCTAGCCAGATCTTCGGTTTGGTGGCCAAAAATGGATAGTCAAATTGAAGAGTTTGTGAAGGAATGTTCTCCCTGTATGCATCATCAGACAGCTCCTCCCGCTGAGAACACACCTTGGCCCAGGACTAACCAACCGTGGCAGCGAGTTCATGTTGACCATTTCTATTTCAGAGGTGATTGTTATTTATTAGTAGTAGATGCAAATTCAAATTGGATTGAAGTATTTCCAGTTAGAGGTACTACTTCGCAAGAAAATATTAAGCTTCTACGGGAGTGTTTCGCCAGGTATGGATTACCGCAATGCTTAGTGTCTGACAATGGCCCCCCCTTCAATTCGATTGAATTTAAGGAGTTCTTACGGAAAAATAATGTATACCACTTAACCTCGCCAGCATATAATCCCTCGTCTAACGGAATTGCTGAAGTTTCGGTAAGAATAATTAAAAAATCTCTGGAAAAGTCGTTGGAAGAATCTCCAAACTCAAATATGGACTGTATTTTACAAAATGTTCTGTTTAATTATAGAAACACGCCATCTTTTAAACAAAGTGCAATGAGATTAAATAAGTAATTATATTTTTATATTTCACACCTATACTGTAAAATTATAGCCCTCAATAGAATCTCGTATAAATGAAATGATGATACCACATTTTGACTTAATTGCTTACTTAACTTAAGATTAAATTATAGAAATACGCCTACCTCTTTAGATAGGCCTCCTGTAGAACGTCTCCTAAGTTATGTGCCTAGAACATTTGTAAATTGCTTGAACTCTGAATTTATCCAGAAGACTTTTGGGAGAAATGAGTGTGGAAGGCGACATTTTCAAGTTGGAGATAAAGTGCTGTTTACAAGAGTAATACAAAATAGGCGCAAATGGTTCAAGGCCCAGGTGATACGACGACTAGGTTACAATGTTTATCTAGTAAAGAACCTAAAAGGCACATTTAAAGTGCATGTCAATCAGATGAGGACAGGTTCAGATACCAAATATGCTGAAGATTCTGATTGGACCTTGGACAACGCTGGAGCAGGACCTCACCGACTGGAACAAGACCCTCAAATTTCCACGTCACCTCCACCTAGGAGATCTACCCGACCTCGATGCCCTCCTTGCCGGTTTTCTCCAACTATGAACAATATAAGGAAGGAGGAATGATCTGTGATATATTATTACTCTACTCTGTATTATTGATCATCATCTTGTAAACAACAATATACGTATAATCGAATTGTAAAAAGAATAAAATAATTATAGTAGCTTAAAAATAGTGTATCTTTCATTTATCTATATATATATATATAAAGTGCAATTTCTTATAAAATAATTTTCACCATTAATATTTACAATTAATAGAAACGTATCAGTCAGGAGGAGCTGAGGACTTAGTATAAGGATGACGGAGGGATGAAAGAATATTCGGGGAGTTTTTATATATGGTACGGATGCCCTAATTTCAATAGCCCTAATCATGCGCCGTCTCGTGGTTTCAGACTGCAGATTTAATATTTACTTTCTCAAAAATCGTTCTTCTGTAAAGATTAACTTTTATAAATAGTTTCAAAATTTACCTTTATATTTATATATATTTCTTCCTACCATTTGTGCCATAGATCTTATAAGTCGCGCTTCATTGCTTGCCTGTTGAAGGGTTTTTACCCGAAAGCTTGCGCCTATGCATTAATAAAAGAAACTCGTCTTTCTTCACCATGTTTTTCGTCTAATATATATTATAATTATAATTTTATATTATGGATTTGATAACTGTTTCAGATATCTAATATTTCGATAGATACATCCAGAATCGACCATCCTTTATCATTATTATTATTTATTTAAGTAACCTAGGTTCCTGGAGCGTACAGAAGTCGCCAACTACCCGGGATGTCCTTCTGAACTAAGTCTTCTTGGATTTATATACAATGCCAGTGGAAGTCCAATTAATGAGGTGTCGCCAGGGAGATTTCTTTCTTGGGAGATTTTCTAGCGATGCTGGACATATGTTGGTGATACCTAGGAGAGTGGCTGTCTGGAATCGTTGGTATTGGAAGGTTCTTTTATCAGTTTTTTTTTTTTTGAAACACAAAGCAAGTCGCGCGCTTCAGGTGAGCTAAAAACGTTATAAGTAACAATATGATCAAATGTTCTCACCCAAACTATTTAATAAATGTATTCAAAAGGGATATTATCCGGGGAAATGGAAAATAACACCTAAAGGTAATTCCTAAACCAATTATCTCCATTGCTTTAGATGATATTTATAAATGATATGTTGACCAAAGTACAAATACCAAACTCAGAAATAATTTGCTATGCCAATTATTTCACAATAATATACTTGAACGAAAATTTAGCAACCTTCAAAAATTCAATTGAGCGTATTTTTGAAAAGGTTGACGACTAAGGTACAGAAAACAAATTAAAAATAATTTGAAAAATCGAATGCATGAATTTTATGGAAGTAATAATCTTTTGAGCTCCTAATATCATGGATTTGTTGAATAAAAATCAACGACAACGTGTTGAATAAAATTAAAGATAGTATGATAGAACATAGGCAGAAGAAATTAGTGACGTTAATTGCAATAGACATTGAAGGAGCTTTTGACAATACATGATGACCAGCTTTGATCAAAGTAATTGATGAAGATAATATGCCTGTCGACCTGATCAAACTTTCATAACCCCTTCTGAAAAATAGTAAAATGATTTTTAATTCTAGTAACAGAAAAATCTCTAAAACATTATCAAAAGGTTGCCCTCAAGGTGGACCATTATCTCCATTGCTTTAGATGATATTTATAAATGATATGTTGACCAAACTCAGAAATAATTTGCTATGCCAATTATTTCACAATAATATACTTGAACGAAAATTTAGCAACCTTCAAAAATTCAATTGAGCGTATTTTTGAAAAGGTTGACGACTAAGGTACAGAAAACAAATTAAAAATAAGTGTTGATGAAACATGTATTCTACATTTGTGCATAACTAAGATGAATTTGCAATTTACTCTTAATTGAAAAATAATATTATTATGCCTGTTAAATAAATAACAATTTTAGGAAATACCTTTGTAAATCATAGAAAGAAAGAATAAATTAAATTTAAATCCTCATTTGAACAATATACTAAATAGAAACCAAATACTAGAAAATTTACTCTTTTAGATTTGTGGCAAATCTTGGGTACTACGCACTCAGAAAAGACTGAATTTATACAAAACAATCTTCAGACCGATACTCACTTACGGAACCGGGGTCTGGTATACATATATTAATAAAAAGAAGTTACACAAATTCAACTCCAATATCAAATATATGATGTACCCAAACTTATAAAACCACTAACTATAGTTGTGTGCATACTCTGGCAAATATTCCCCTGATTACGGACTATATGTAACCCAGAAGTACGAAATTATCTCAATAATTTGTCGATTGAGGACCAACAGGGATATATTCCAGGCATACTTGAAAAATGTATAAAATCTAGAATGACCATATTGAAAACAAATACTAACCAAACATTTCGATTTTTTCCCGCTAATATTCCTAACTATTTTCTGGCAAATTTCCACAACTCTCAATTTATTACAAATCACGATAATTTTTGAAGATTTTAAAAATATATCAAAGGAGTGCAAGATTCTAGATTTTTCTATGAATGTGAGGAACAAACCTCTATTGTTCTGCTGCTACATTACCCCTTCTACGAAGAGTATAGAATAAAAAATGGACTAAATGTAACAAACCCGTTTGATCTAATATCAGAAAAAATATGTATACAATTTAACACTTTCAACCCCAATGACGTGGATCCACGTCATTGCTATTAAAGCACCAAACCCCAATGACGTGGATCCACGTCATGAAACTTTAAAAATCAATAGAAAATCGGGTGGCAATCCACGTCATTGGGCACCTGGCCCCAACAACTTTTCGCGGCCGTCTCATGATGACATGACCTTGACAGGCTCCTCCCCTCCCTCTCGCCCCCCCTTCCACCCCCTTTACATCATGGCACACGTGATTTCCCACTTCCTTCCTCTTCTGTAAACAACTGCAGTGTGCTCAACTTACCTATTTATAGTGCTCTTGTTTTTTTGTCTTATTTTCAATATCTTTCACTTATAAAATACTTTTTGAAGGATTATTTTCATTTTATGATGGATCCTAGTCAACCAAGCACCTCCAAATTGGTAGGTCCATTTTATAAATCTTCTCTTGATGAAAAACATCTAGACGAATTTTGCTCTGATTCTGGGTCTGAAATTGATGATCCAGTTGTTGATCCAGATTATGTTGAAGGTCTGGATTCAGATGAAACTGAAATATATGATTTGGAAGAAGGAGAATTTGCTCAGCCTCCATCTAAACAAAGGAGACTTGAAGAGCCCCAAGATGAGGGTTGGGCAAATGTTCGGAATCCCTCAGTAAACTGTCCGGTTTTCTTAGACCAACCTGGCCCTAAAATGGATTTTTTTACACAAACAATGTCCCCATATAATATTTTCAAAACTTTTATTGACGAAGAAATGTACAGGAAAATTAAATTAGAAACAAACAAGTATGCAAGGTCTACAATTGATAAACAGAAGAAAAGGGGTCCTCTCAAGGCATATAGCTTTCTGGCTAATTGGAAAGCAGTGTCAATTGCAGAAATAAAGTTATTTTTTGCCTGCATTATACACATGTGCCTTGTTATAAAGCCAAGAATGAAAGATTACTGGTCCACCAATTCTGTCCTCAATACCACTTTCTGTAAAAAAATAATGGCTAGAAATAGGTTCGAAGCAATTTTGTCAATGCTTCACCTGGCTGATAATTCTTCCTATATTCCTTTTGGACAAAGTGGACATGATCCTCTATATAAAATAAGAACTTTTCTAGATCCTCTTACCAAAAAATTCCAATGCCTTTATTCCCCGACCCAGAATCTGACCATTGATGAAGCTATTTGTCCATTCAGAGGAAGAATAAGGTTCCGTATTTACATAAAAGGCAAGCCTCACAAATATGGAATAAAGATCTACCATATTTGTGAAGCCAATTCTGGTTATACCTGTAATATCAACATATACACAGGTAAACATCCAAGCCAGGAAGAAGGCTATAACTCTATACCAAATTTGGTAGAACGATTGGCCTCTCATCTCTTCAACAGAGGTCACATCATTTATTGTGACAGGTGGTTTTCTTCGCCCCACCTCTTCAACTATCTATGGGAAAAGAAAACAATGGCTGTTGGTACAGTAAAAACTAATAGGAAAGGTCTTCCTAAGAAATCCTTTTCAAAAAAATTGAAGAAAGGTGAAGAAATGCATCTATTCAAGGGTAGCCTAATGGCAATGAAATGGCGCCACACCAGAGATGTTTGGATGATCTCAACTGTTCACGACCATCAAATGGTTGAAGTCATGGGGAGACCTGGACTTTCGCAAGCTCCAATATTCAAACCACAAGTTGTTCTTGACTACAATAAGAATAAAATTGGAGTGGACCGAAGTGACCAGATGCTCTCCTATTATTCTTTTGATCGACGCACAATGAAATGGTGGAAGAAACTATTTTTCCATATATATGGACTTGCTATTGTAAATTCATGCATAATTTACAATAAATTGAATCCTGATGCTAAAATGTCTTTGAGGGACTTCCATATTTCAATATGCGAAGCTCTTTGCTCAGAAGCCAATCAAGATATTCTTGATGCTCAACCTTCAAGCGGTGAACAATCTGATCGACTTATTGGACGTCATTTTATTCGCCGAATCAAAGTTGAAGGCAAAACATATGCCCAACGCAGATGCCAAGTTTGCGCTGAAAAAGGCAGGGTAACCACTGGCAAGCAGGCAAGAAAAGATACAGCCTATGAATGTGAGACCTGCCTAGTTCCACTATGCCTTGGTGATTGCTTCAAACTGTACCATACAATAAAAGATTATTATAAGGTATAAAAATTATTTTATCGCATTAAATTATTGTATATATATATAAATTACTTCATTTTTTAAAAAATAAATGTCATTTTCATTATATAAATTTATTTTTGGATCATTTTTGTGTTGGAGTGATTTTCATTTTTGAATAAAATTTTGATTTTTTCAAAATTTAATAATAAAATATATATTGAATTTATTTTAAAAATGTATCTTTTATAATGTTTTCAACACTTATTTTTACCATTATTACAATTAATATTTCATTTGGATCATGCTTAAAGTATTTTTCAAAATTTTCAAAAATTACACTTTTTAGCTGGGCCGAGGGGGCCGTAATAGTATTTCAGCTTCGTCCTCTAAGTAAAAAAAACTACTAAATTCCATTGAAAGATTTTATTTAGACATTAACTCTGTTTAGCATAGTTTTGTGTTATGAATAATTCTCTAATATCTTGCATATTTTCATTCTAAAATATTCATTAAAACTTTTTTCAATCTATAAATTTTACCTCGAATACACTACTTCACAATTGATTTCATGTAGCTAAATTTGCATGCCAACCCTTTGTACATATTTCAATTGTGTTGATATTTTTTCCTTTTCATATAAATTGCATACAAATTCTTGTACATATTTCAAATAATCTTTATTTTCTTTCTATGTTTAATTTACCTTTAAAGTGCCAGTGTCCCTAGAGGGACATAGCGCTTTAAGTCGAAAAAAAATAAAGATTATCCATTATATACATTTTAAAAAGAAAAAATAAATATCAACAAAATAAAAACAATGTAATATATATTTGAAAATGTAAATAATTAAGCTAGATATGGAGAAAGATATATAATTTTAATTTTCTAAATATCCTTCTTAATTATTGACATTTTATTAAATAATCGCCCGATACGCTTGTGAAGTGTCCGTAACTCATCTGAAGCACGCGACTGTCTGTGTGTTTAAAAATAAAAGTCTAGTAAAAGATGGGCGATTAGTCCAACACGAAATTTTGGATAATTAAAACATATAAATATAATTGATTATTAATTTTTCATTTTTAATTATGGATAATTAAATCATAATTGAGCGTTATTTTTAAAATTTGACTATTATGGACTGCTCAATATTAATAATATATTAAAATATATAGTACTATTATAAAAATAATGTTGAATGATATATATTGTTGCACCAGGTTGCGGCTTGGCAGACTCTTCAGCCTTGATTCTCTCCTGTGCTGGGTCTTGCATCTTACCAGAGCGTGTTTCAACCATCCTACAAATTTATAAAAGGGAATAATGAGATAAGTCTACTTTATGTAGCCACCAGAATAATTTATTTATTTTTTCACATCAAAGAGAGCAGTGAAGTCACAGTGTACCTAAATACAAATAATGATAATCTAAAAATAATCTGTTTTAAATAAATATCATAGAATATAAAAATAAATAAATATATAATTTAAATTTCAAATATATTAAAAATAATATAATAAATACGCCATTAATCATGATGTAACACTTCCCCCTCTCCAGAGGTCGTCACGTCCTCGTGAGTTACCTCATCAATTCTCTCAAAATAGGGTTTGAGTCTTGAGACATGGACAATCAATGGGTCTTGGCCAGGATTATCTTTCGGCTCAATTAAGTAATTTACGTTAGACAGCTTCTTTAATATTCGATATGGGCCAAAATATTTTCTCAATAGTTTTTCGCATTTTCCGATTTTCCTGACTGGTGTCCAAACTGCCACTAAATGTCCTGGTTCATAGATTTTCTCATAGTGTTTTTTGTCATAGTTTCTTTTCATTCTTTCCTGAGTCTTCTCTGTGTTGTTAATGACTACCTGTCTCGTCCTTGCTATTTTATCTAAGTAGTTTTCTATATATTCGTCGTAATCGTCCATGTTACTGTCCGTTGGGATAATCTCGTCGTCTAAGAGGGACATGGGTTCCCTTCCAAACAACAGGAAAAATGGAGAGTAGCCTGTGGTTTCTTGAATCGTGGTATTATACGCGTGGGTGATAAAAGGGAGGATTTCATCCCAGTTCTTTTGGTCTGTGTTCACATACATGCTAATCATATTAATTAAAGTTCTATTTAGCCGTTCCGTTAGTCCGTTAGTCTGGGGGTGGTAGCTCGTTGTGAAGCAGTGTTTCACTTTGCACATTTTCATTACCTCCTTCATCAAATTGCTAGTGAATTGTGAACCTCTATCGCTAATAAGAAATCTTGGGGCCCCGTGACGTAAAATAATATGTTCGATTAAAAATGTAGAGACTTCTTTCACGGTTGCTTCTGATACTGCCTTTGTTTCTGCATACTTGGTATCAGTCAACACAATTATCCACTTCCTTCTTCTTTTCGTTGATGGCAAGGGGCCAACAAAGTCAATTCCGATTCTTTCAAAAGGGTAGTTAGCTGGGGGAATAGGTTGTAGAAGTCCAGAAGGCAAGTGATTTGAACCTTTCCTACTTTGGCAAAGATGGCACGTCTTTACAAAGTCTGAAACATCTTTCAACATGGAAGGCCAATAGTATTTATTCTTCAATCGGTAAGTGGTTCTGGCGACGCCCAGATGGCCATTCAGCATATGGTTGTGGTATTCACTCATGACTTCCTTCCTTCTCTTCTTTGGCACTACCAGCAACCATGCCCTACCTTCAGGATTTGGATTTTTCTTGTAGAGACACCCATTTTCTTCTTTGAAGTTCTGTGTAATTGAACGCTTGTTTCCACTAAGGTTCTCCTTAATATTCTCAATAAAATCATCCTTTTCGTCTATTATTTGATTCAGAAATAGTCTTTCATAATCTTCGTTCCATTCGTTTTCAGGTAAGGGTCCTCTAGATAGACCATCAGCGTCCAGATGTTTTTTACCCGATTTATGTATGATTTCGAAATTATATTCCTGAATCTTCAGTGCCCATCGTGCTAATCGGCCGGTCGGATCTTTCAGATTCTTAAGCCAGCATAGTGCGTGATGATCAATTACGATTTTGAAGTGCCTTCCATATAGGTAGGGTCGTAACTTGGACATTGACCACACAACAGCTAGACATTCTTTTTCGGTAGTCGAATAATTTTGCTCAGGTTTGCTCAGTGTTCGACTTAAATATGAGATAACTTTTTCTTTATCGCCGAACTTTTGGACTAATGTTGCACCCAGGCCGATGTTAGATGCGTCAGTATGAATGTAAGTAATTGCATTCGGGTCAAAGTGCCCTAAGATTGGAGGATTTATCAATGCTACTTTAAGGGTTTGAAATGCTTTCTCTTGATTTTATGTCCAGGTAAAAGGTACATTCTTTTTTATAAGACTGGTTAATGGATCGGCAATTTTTGAAAAACCTTTGATAAATTTTCTATAATATGAGCACATTCCTAAAAATGATTGAACTTCTTTTATCTTTTTGGGCCGAGGAAAATCTCTAATAGCCTTGATATTATGCTCCGCTGGTTTTATACCATGTTGATTAGTTATATGGCCAAGAATCTCCAGTTCTTCGAAAGCAAATTGGCATTTTTTGTTGTTCAATTTTAAATTAGCCTCGCGAAAACATTTTAAAACAGCTTCTATTCTTTTGAGATGTGTTGAAAAATCCGAGCTATAAATGATTACGTCATCTAGATAACATAAGCAAATTTGCCATCTAAGATTACCAAGCATATTTTCCATGTTCCTCTCAAATGTAGCAGGGGCATTGCATAGACCAAAGGGCATTACGTTGAACTCATATAGGCCATGTGCTGTAGTGAAGGCTGTCTTTTCTTTATCTTTCTCCTCAACCTCTACTTGCCAATATCCTGATTTAAGGTCAATTGCTGAAAAGTATTTGGATCCTTGAAGTGTATCCAATACTTCATCAATTCTGGGAATTGGGTAAACATCCTTCACTGTTACATCATTCAATTTTCTGTAGTCAACGCAAAATCTGTACTTACCATCTCGCTTCTTGACCAAGATTACAGGGAAGGACCATGGACTCGAGGATGGTCTAATTATGCCGTCTCTGAGCATTTCATCAATTTGTTCTTTTATAACTTCTCGCTCTTTCGCGCTCACCCTATACGGCTTGTGTTTGATCGGTTTCGCGCCTTCTGTATCGATCCGATGTTTCGCTAAGTTGGATCTTCCTAATCCCGACGAAAACAAATCCTCGTACCTTTCCAAAACTTGTTTCAATTGCTCCTTTCCCGTATATGCTAAATTTTCGTTTATCTGAAATTGGGGTTCTTCATGCTCTTTTTGTTCACTTTCTTCCATAAGATTCACTTCGGCTGGCTGGCTTCCAAAGCACAATGTTTGGTTTTTTAATATTTTTAATGGTCGAGGGTAAGGGTTTGTTATCCAGATATATGTTTCCTTATTCACAACATTTATTAAGCTTCTCGCTAGTCGAAGTCCATTTGTTTGAAACATTTTATGGTTCTCCTCGATGATGTATTCGCCATCCTCTGCTTCTACAAATGCATTAATCAATTTAATAGAAAGTTCTGGTATAATGGCATCCTTTGCACTTTTTATTTTCTTCTGTTGATATTTGATTACGTCACGATTTTCTGTCAAGTCATATTTGATTATTTCACGCTGACAATTAATTTTTGCGTTCATTTTCTTAAGAAAATCACGTCCAAGTATAAATATTCGCAAATGTGTTCTCATTATCACAAATTGATGTGTAATTGTTTTGTCATCAAATTTTATATTTAAAATAATATTTCCTACGATATCTAATTCTTTGCCATCGGGTCCGGAGCACATTTTATCAGGATTTATTATTTCAAGACCTGTGTTAAGAGCTGTACTAAGGTCGACCACTGAAAGATCGGCGCCTGTATCAATCAAAGCTTCGCAGATACCGATTCTATCCACGTTAATGTTCAATTTATATTTGGGGTCTAACTTTTTAATTCCATTTATGGTCGACTTGCTTTGATTGACGGACTCAGGCGCGATGTTTAGTTTAAATCTTCTAATGCAGCATATCTATTCCTTGTAGGGATACTCGAGTACGGGCTATTACTTACGTCAGAGTAGAGCAGAGGTCTCGACTTCTGAGTTCCATTATCCATTCGGATTTCTTCTTCGACCTTGTCTTATGTAACTATGGGGTCCTCTTCTACAATTCTTACAAACCTGACTCTGCAATACCGCGCTACGTGTCCTGGCTTGTTACACTTGAAACATATTGGTCTCCCGTCTTCTGTCCTATTCCTATTTGAATTTGGATTCTTATTGTATGTTTTACTTGGGTAGACCGGTTTTGGCTCAGGATTGGGAGTGTAAGATCGTCTAGGGGCAGATACCTGGGGCAGAGGCTTGTTCTGGTAATACCTCGGAGTGGGGGCCTGGGGCTTGGAGGTGTTCTGGTAGTACCTCGGAGCGGGGGCCTGGGGCTTGGAGGTGTTCTGATATGGTCTTCTGAACGACGTAGCATTCTTCCATTGCTCTTGATGATGGGGACGAGGAGAGCGTGGTCCATTATAAAGAGCTTTTGATTTTTCTGCACGTTCTTGGTAATTCTTTTCGAACAAATCCAGCTTTTTACAAATTTCTAGAAGTTCATTGGTATTTTTAGGAGGGTTTAGGTGAAGGGCAAAAGAGTATTCTTTCTTTAACCCTCCAATAACCCAGTTTATTTTAGTCTCTTCTTCCATTTGGGGGTCGACCTTGTTGCACAGTACAAGGATATCCTCTGCGAACCTGATTGCAGGTTCATTCCACTGTTGTATCCTGTTTAATATCATCCTCATTTCTTCTTTGTTGGCGTCTGAGGCAAAATCCTCAATTAGGCGGCTCTTGAAATTTTCCCAGCTGGTGAAACTTACTTTGTGTAGGTTCAGCCAGGTTTTGGCGCTACCAATCATATTCATGGCAGCATAACGGGAGATAATGTAGTCTGCCCAATGGTACAGGAAGCCAATTTCTTCAAGAGATTCAATCCATGGGCGAGGGTCTTCTGTTCCATCATACTTGGGGATGTCGATGTTGGGATTCAGGACAACTGGGTCGGAACTAGCATCTCTACCAATTGTTGCACCAGGTTGCGGCTTGGCAGACTCTTCAGCCTTGATTCTCTCCTGTGCTGGGTCTTGCATCTTACCAGAGCGTGTTTC